CCCCACTGAGCAGGACTATCATGCCTTGCAACGCGTTCTGCGCTATCTCAAAGGCACTTTGAATCATAGTCTTCTTTTTCGCAAGGGGGGATTCGACCTATCTGTCTACTCTGACTCTGACTGGGCCAATGATAAAGATGATCGCAAGTCTACCACGGGCTACATACTCCTACTCGGTCCTAATATCATCTCTTGGTGCACGAAAAAGCAGACTCGTGTTTCTAGATCATCCACTGAAGCTGAATATCGAGCTATGGCTGCAGGGGTTGCAGAAGCTATGTGGCTTCGATATATCACTGATGCACTGGGTATTCCTCCGTCCAAACCGAAGTTATACTGTGACAATGAGTCGACTATCTGTGTCACCAAAAATCCGGTTCTTCATGATCGCATGAAGCATGTGGGCACAGACTGTCACTTTGTACGAGATGAGGTTATGGCAGGCACTATGACTCCACATCATGTTTCCTCCTCAGAGCAGCTAGCAGACATTCTTACCAAACCGCTTCCGCCAGTTCCTTTTGAGTACTTATGTTCCAAGCTGCCCCTCGTCTCCGTTGATCAGCTTGCGGGGGGATATTAGGAAGTATAATTAAATTAGGATACTTCTTTCCTTTCCTACTAGGATTATTCTTTCCTTTCCTACTTGTACTTTGATTACTCTTGTATTCCCTATATATAGGGTCATATCTCTCAATATTCAATAAGACAAGTTATTATCAAATTGTATCAATTTGAATAATAAAAGATCATTATTGTTTTGGTGTACGTCTAAATGTCGGTCTAGTCAGTATCTTTTTATTTCTTTACCAATTTCTAAATAAATTTTTTTAATACATACATGTTTTTGCGCGTGGTTCAGAGACTCTAATTCTTTTTGAGACCAAGGGAATACTAAATAAAAAATTAAAAAATAAATAAATATAAAAGAAACAAATATAGCTAAATAATAAATTACCTGGCAATAAATTTTCATTTGATTCACTCATTACATTTTTTTTATTCTTTGTTTTCTTAAATTTTTACATTTAGTACTTTCGTCTTTGAGTGTTTACCCAATTTGTATATTTTTACTTGTTTTATCTAATAAATATACCGTGCAGGTTGAGCCGGGGGTCTCTTGGAAACGGCCTCCCTACTTTCGAGTAGGGGCACTGCGTACACACACCTTCTCCAGACCCTACTGTAGTAGGATTCAATTGGGTTGTTGTTGTTATCTAATAAATATACCATATAACTTTTATTTAATGATAGATCATCACCACCATTCACCAATGGATCCTGGTTACTGTAAAAAGCTAGACAAATCTCCTGAGGTGAAAGAACTATCTATTTATTTATTATAAATAAACACCAAGAGGGCGAGGTTTGGGGTTTAGATAAATAGTAGGGATCATTCATTATTCAAATGAAACCCTATAAATACTTTAACTGAGCAATGTTAATTTTTTCGTTGGAAGAAATTTCTTTCCTCAAAAGATCATTTTCTATTGTTAATTTTTGAAAATCAATATTTCAAAAGATGTTTTAAGACAATTAAAAAGATATTTAAACATAAGAGAAGCAACACGGGGGGTAGGGCGAGGGGGCAAGGGCGGGTGGCAAGTGCAAAGGACGATAGGGTGGGGGTGGGATGGCACTGGGGTGAGGGCCAAGTGCACGTGGTATGCAACCGGAGCGGGTGGCTAGTCACGGGGACAGTGGGGTGTGGAGCTGGGGCTAGGGCTGGGGCAAGTGCGGAAGGGGCGAGGTGGGGGGTGAACCAAGAGTGGCAGGGTAAGGAGCGAGGGGAAAGGGACAGTGCGGGGCAAACGGTAAAGGGTGGGGCAAAGCCTGCAAGAGGGGTGGGGGAGGATTATAAGTTAAACTCTTCCTTTGAAAGCAAATAAATATTATTTTCTCCTTGTTGAGAAAATATTTTTCTTTAAAAATATTTTCGTGCCCTTTATGTTATCAAACATAAGAAAATTCGAATCTAAATTCTACGGGAAAATATTTTCTCCTAAGCAAACACACACTAATATAAAATGCAACACATTTGACAATTTCAATATCATGTCACGAAGTTAGAAAAAGAAGAGCAGACACTACACCAAAAAAAACCCAATTCCAACCCATCCACAGAACCAAGAACCTAAAAGCAAAAAAGGAAAAAGAAAAAAAAATATGGCATTCCCTTGAGATCAATCAAGAATAGACTTCAGATTTACCATTTCTTCAGCTCCATACCATCTGGAGGGCTTCCTTCCACCTTCTTTGAGCCCACCTCTTTCCAGTTTGTGGACAGCACTGTCCCATTTGATTCAACCTGTCAAAGGATAAATGTATAATTCACTAAGAGTCCAAATCAAACACCTATGGTTAAAACAAAAAAAAAACTAATCCTAGGTCATGAGATGAAACCCATCTTCCATTGCGCCCCTCAACTATTAAACTAGAGCTATAAAATCCCGACCCGGTAAAATCCCAGGAATGAAGTTTGGGGTGGGTGTACGCAGACCTAACCCTATGCCCCGTACCTAGAAAGGGGACAGAGTAAACTTCAGTCTTCCAACGAAAATAATTTATTTATTTTACCCGTAATAACGAAGATTTGGATGGCTTACTCCTATTGTGTTTAAAATGTCAATAGAAGGTCTAGAGCAAACAATAGGTTCAGTTAAAAGGTTAGAGATGGCTCAATGTTACAGAAATCTACTGCTTAGGAAAGAAGGAATGTATTTTTCTATTAAAAAAAAAGCAGGCCAAGTACAAAAAGGGGCAAAAGAATAACGTTTTCCTGAAAAATGATAGTAAGGTTGCTAATCAGGCTATACCCTGTTCTGCTAGTGCCATGTTATACGTAATACAATGCAAGTATTACAGTAATGACCAGTGCAATAAAAAAATTTGTTTAAATTTGTACTCCGTGTATATTAGTATGGACTTACAAAAGATTTCATCATCGCTCTTCTAGTATCCTCGTCAGCATCCTGATATATTCCACGGAAAAATTTGTTCAGAGCCGCATCACCATCCAATTTCTCATCTTTTTCCTAAAATAACAGTTAATAAAATTAAGGTAGTTAAATGTAAAGCACATAACTCATTGGCATGTATGGGCAGCAGTCAAATGGAAATTCAAATATCTACCTCTTTCTTCACCTCAGCTTCCAATTTGTCCCAGTCTTTTCTCTTAGGTTTTGATGAAGGGTAAGAAGGTCTTTGGATCTCTAATGAGAGAGAAAAAGAAAAACATTAACACGCCACACAAGAATCAGTGAAGATTTTTTATTCTTGGAGGTAAGGTCCACATATATATTGCCCCTTACCTCTTGGTGGATATGTTTGGTTTTGCTTGGTTAAGTAACCTCCTAATTTCTTAGGGATGCTCGTAAGAACAAGAGAGCTTCAGTGAAACAGAGAATAAATGTAATTAATTATGTTTATTAGAATTGTTTTTCATCATGTTATACACTTCAAAAAGTATTGCTCTGTGTGGTTGGACGGAAAAGGGGACAGGAAAAAAGAGTGGGATGGGGAAGGGGAGAGTAGGGATTTTTCCATGCTTGGTTGGAGGGAAAAGAGGAGGACAGAAAAGTGGGATGGGAAGGGGAGAGTAGGGGTTTTTCCATGCTTGAATACAAGAGACAATAGGATAGTGGAGAAATATAGGAGAAAAAAGAGGCTCCAGCATCCCATTTTCTCCCCAAATTTTCACCCCACAATTGGAGAGACTTGAGGTTTTAAAAATCCGTTCTCCTTATCTGCACGATCATGCCACTCGTCCCAAAATGCATTATAATGGTTCTAATTTAATCATTCCATTAAAAAGATTGGATATTATAAATCAATTGATGACCTTCTATTAATAAATGTAAACCCTTCTTAACAGTGTTAATGTCACTTTATCATGTTGAGCATTTTATTTCTTCAAATACCACCCCGGTGTTAACAAGCTATGTACCTATAAATTATGGTGATAAATGGAACTCACCAGATGAGACAGCAGTTGCCTGCCGTATAACAGTAACTCCCTTATTATACTCAAGACACTGCCAATGGATAGCATCAGCTTTTGCAAGGCGGATCTCAATTTTCGTTGTCATGACCTCATATCTGCACTTATCAGGAATTATCTGTTCGACATTGAAAGCAACCACAAGGAAAACAGCATTAGTAGCTTCTTAGGGACCTGAAAAGGCTTCAATTGAAACAGTGCACAAACCACAAAGAAATAGAAGTTTGTGATAAGTTGGTTATGCTATAAAAATCAAAACCCAAACTGTGGCGAGGAAACTATTACACAATTACATACTGTCAATAAATTGCATTGACAAATGTTAACAAGGCTAGTACAAATACTTAATAGCACCAACAACCACTAACAAAAAAATGATTAAATTAACCACATTTCTACTACAAAGGAGGCCAGACGAGAGGAACACTTTTAAAAATAAAGATCCAAACATCTACCTGCATAATCAGACTTCCAACGCAAGCCACAGAATTTTGAAGTACTATATGCTCTTGAAACTACTTTTAAGAAAACAGAAATATAAGAATCTCATATCACCTTGCCAAACAAACGTGGCTGGAAAGTATATGTATCCGCGCCAGGTGCATCAATAGTAATGCTAAGCTGTAGTTTAGAGAGAAAAAAATAAGAGTTTGCAAGTAATAGTTCTCTTTTCCTGAAGAAACTTGAAAAATTATACATCTCAAGGAATAGAATTACAAAGTACCATTTGTTCCCCGAAGTCAATAGAAACATTCTGTGCTGGAATTCCCTTTGCAAATATAGTAACAACCACTTCGTTTGGTTTCTGATAGAATTCATGCCTACAGCAGATTTTGTCCAAAAATGTAATATTCAGAAAAATAGACTTAAAAAGCTTCTTGCATGTGTCAATTGAGTAGCTAACACAAGACCTGCAAATTCTATGGATTAAAACTTGTAACATATATTTGTACTCCAGCCACCCTCTTTTAATTTTCTTGGTTTGACTGGGCATTTATGTGAATAAGTGAAGTGAGCTATTAAATTTTCACACAAACTAATGGGCATATTTTTCGTTACAACCGTCTTCGACAGAAGGAAAATCACATGTTGGAAATCCAAGAGACAACTCCTCAGTTTTTTTTTAAATACCGCTTTTGTGAGTCAAAAATAAACTTCACCTTTGATTCATGGGTTTCATTGACTCTTGGTGTATTAATTTTCTGCCTTAAGTTTCCACATCTTCACACTCACACAATCAAACCTATAGGTGTATAAATAATCAGCCTTTTGGCTTTTGCTTAATGTCACAGACTCACAGTAAATGTGTCTGTTTTCTTTCATTGTTAAAGAGATAAGCATCACCCCATCAGTATAAAACTCAAGTTTTTAGAGAAGATTGTATTCATACATTCATAGTATCCAAGATGCAGCATACTATACGCATAGAATATTGAGGTCTGAATCATGTAAGAAAAGAGAAGAAAAACCTATATATTGGTTTTGCGGCTGTTTGCTCGTGATGAGATAGATCAATAGCTGGCTGGGAATCCTTTGGCCTCTCTAATGACACTGATTCTGTCTCCACTTGCGCACTAGCTTCCTCTGAATGAAAAAAGCAAGAGGATGCACGTACTTGTTAGATAAAAATACTACAGAGTATCAGAAAAGTCCCGCCATACACCTCCGTTAGATAAAGAATGCCTTCTGTGTGTCTTAAAAGTTAAAATGTGCATCATGAAGTCCCAAAAAACATCCCTCTGTTTGGATATAGTTATCGACTTCCTAAAGTACCTCATATTTAAAGAGTGATAGTGAAAATCAAGTAAGTCCTTATAATATGTTTGTAATCAATTGATGTAAACAATACAAATATAATATTTGAGGGTATTTTAGATAATCCACCATATTTTGTTTCCTAAATTTGAAAATGGGACAACTAATTCCAGACATACACAAAATTAAAGTGGACAATTAAACTCAGTTGGAGAGAATACTTTATTCATGCACTATACTACATAAAAGAAACTAAGATGAACCAATGAAAACATCAGTAAAAATATTTTTTGAGGGATCACTTCACCTGCAATGAGTTTATCGCATTCTTTAATCAAATCACTGAATTTTGTCTTTAGCTCTACCGGTGCCAAAGGAATACCAGTCTCCAATGCTGTTTTCGCAGTCTGATATTCTTCAAGCTTCAAGCAGGCCATGCTGTGATTAAAAGCATGTTAATAAAGAAATACATAGTTCATCTATGGGTTTTTTCAACCTTTTTCAATTCCGTTCAATACTTTTCACTTAAAAATCCAACTTTCCATTTAATTTAGAAAAATTTAGTAAAAAAGAGCACATCTTACTTGAAAATAAGAAGCAAAGATTCAGTCCCCGAACATGATGCGCTCTTTTTCTTTTGTGATTTACAACCAGTAACACAAAAGAAACTAATGCAGCCTTGTAAGGAGTAAGAAGAAAAAAAACGGCACTCACCCTTTACGGAAATAAGCTCTAGCCATGGAGGGATCCAATTCGATTGCCCTGTTTGCATCGGCTACAGCGTCTGCTCACAAAAGGCACAATACGTACACATTATATTATACAAACACGATATGTCACAAAAAATCATGAGATTAAGCTTATTTATCATTATAAGCAATAAAAAATTATAGCTAGAACTTCGCCGCAAAACGCTCAAATAGATTAATGAAGCATCTTAGATCGTGAGAGTGCTCAACAACAACAACAACAAAAGTGTGTTTATCCTTAGATACGAGAAGCAAAAGAGGATTCGATGAAGATACCTGTGAAGCTTTGTAGCTTAATGTTGGCCTGGGCGCGGTCTACGAAGAGCTCGGCGTTGTTAGGGCACAAAGCGATGGCTTGAGAGTAGAGATCAACGGCCAATTCGAAGTGGTCATCGATGAAGGCATCCTTAGCCTTGCGTTCCAGATCAGACGCCATTGATTTTTCACCCGGCGTCGGCGAAGGTAAACCCAAAAAAAAGAACACAAAGAACTCTCTGGAATCCTGGAACCACGAGAGCCCGATGATGAGACGATTGCCTTGACTAATTGACCGCCTCTTTTGTACTCCAAAAAAAACGAGTAAAATAAAAAATAACCATTTTCCAATTCAAATTTGGAATTTGGAAGATACTTGAAGAACCTATTTTAAATTGGCATCATTCCTATTGATATCAATTAGATTTAGGCCATGTTTGAAATTTAGCTGGTGGTGCACTTGGCTGATCCTTGTTCATGTTGGTTTGAATAACTATTTAAGTTGATTGTTTTGACCAATCGATTATATTAGTTGGTGATATAAAATTATTTGTCAAACTTAGCTTATTCAAAATAGCCTTTATAAATTAGATTTAATGAAATTTTCAACTATATAATTATATGGTATAACATGCTTTACAATATATATTCTTTCTTTCCTCAAATAAAACTTTAAGCTATATATTGATTTAAAGTCAATATGATTTTTTTTATTTATGTATTTTTATCAATCAATTGATAGAATAATATAATTATACAGAGTATCATATTTTGTTTCAAAAAACTTTTGAAGTAGTTTTTAAAAGTATAATTTGTTTATTTCTACACCATTTTAAACTCTCTCTCTCTCTCTCTCTCTATATATATATATATACATATATATATATATATATATATATATATATATATATATATATATATATATATATATATATATATATATATATTAACGAGTTGTTTAAACCCCCAATATTACTTCCAACGGCCAAATCTTATTCAGATCACATGGAGGGCCATTTCATTTAATTCTTGGCGGGAAAACATTTTTTTCTATTTTTTTTCATAATTATTTTGCTTTTGTATGCAGTATAGATTCGACCGCTCACGTCACTGAGAAAATTTTTCATGCATGTTATTTTTTTGATCCCACTGAGGAACTTTGATAAATTTACATACGAGAATACTAGGAGAACTTACTATAAATTGACATCATTCCTATTGGTATCAATTCGAACTCTCACATTAATGAAGAAATTTTTCATACAAGGTTTTTTTTTCTAATCCCACGAGTGAGATTTGATAAATTGACACACAAAAACTTTTATTCATGCACAATGAGGAAATTTGAGGCTAAGAGATCTTATTGAAAAATCCACCTCTCCTACGAGTTTAGGTCCAGACCAAAAAAATTGAATGAACCAGATTGTTAGGTCCAGACTGAACTCAGACCTAATGAATTTCAGGTTGATCTTTGATTCAAAAAAATAGACATTCATATTTTGGTCTGGTCTGGTGCAAACCTAAAATAATTTAAGTCCAAATCGAATAGACCTTATAATCATTTTGGATCTAAAAGACCTAAATACTAAATTTACTTTTTATGGTTGGTATTACACGTTGATGCTCTACTTTAATAGATATCTTAATTCATTTAATTTAAAATGTTTTTCAATTAAGTACTTTTTCCCAACAATTCAAAATAAAAGTATTTCACAAAAAAATATTTTTAGTTTATCCACTTTAGTTTTTCTTACAGTAAAAATTACAGAGCCTTAAATAAAACTAATAAATCAAAATAATTACAAAATATATTCTTATTAGGTCCATATGGTCTTGATTGGTTCGGTCATAAGTATTTCCATCTAGTTCAATGAAATGTTGAATAGGTTTAGCTCTGATCTTTAGCCCATGATTTTGTTCAATTCGTTCTTCGGTGTAGTTTGGCCCGGTCTTGGTCGATGAATAACCTGACCTCTGCCCATTAGCTTTGTCACTTAATCAGGTTCTTGCTTGACATGTGCCTTATGAAGTACAAGAGCATCTTCAATGGAGATGTCAACTAAAAGGAAAAGAAGTTTATCTGCATTATTTTAGCCATCTAAATTTAGGTTTTTGTTCCAACCATAACAGGTAATTTGTTGCTCCATAGGGTACATTCTATCTCTAACATCAATATTATCTAAGTGTAGCAAATACAACATACTACACGCATAGCGTAGAAGCATAGTGGGAATATTTAATGCATATAACCTACACATAGATGGAGTCATAATTCATAACCAAATCATATAGTAGCATGAAAACAATATCCATCTAAGTTACGTATTTAACATCACACGTTTATTCATATTATTATCAAGTTTATAGTGAGATACAATCAAAACAATTTCATTCATTTATTCAAATTGTTATCAAGTTCAGCACATTAATCATTCATATTATTCTCAGGTTTATCAACAACACAAATTCTTAACCTATTCTATGCTAAGACTATTTTCATTATCAATATTATCAAGTTTGTCATCAACACATATTCTTAACATATTCTAAGCTATAACGAGTTCATTAGTATTTTCACACAAGAATTGTGACATATCCTATGATTTATAGGTCACACTCAAGAACGAATGGTGGACTACACACTGACGGATTCGGTGGTGCCTTCTGATGAGTCATACTCAAATCATTTGACGATCTCATACGTATGCTTTTACACTAGCCATTATTGAGTCATCACCATTGATTCATTGTTTATAGTAATTTTTTTCAAGACACAATCATATAGTACATTTAGTAACCACAATTTCAATTACATTACATCAATCTTAGAAATATTCTATGTATTCTAAATCATTGGTTTTCACAATAATATAATACTCCCTCCGTCCCATAAAACATTTCCTATTTCAAAAAAGGCGCGCCCTTAAAATGAGTAATTTTGGTGTTATTTTCTAATTTTTCCCTTACTTTATAAAAGAGTAGGATGAGATGTGTAGAATAAATTAGTCATAATTAAAAAATAACACCAAAATTACTCATTTTAAAGGCGCGCCTTTTTTGAAACAAGAAATGTTTTATGGGACGGAGGGAGTAACAAATAGCGGCCTAACGTTAGGTGTTAACATCCTTGTTTACTTTCATGCAACAAACAAGGATTTATGACAATATTCATTAATTTTAGTATTTAATCATAATTAAATCAATTCTAAACATTTTTAATAACAAAATTTGAATTATATTGACTATAGGTTCAAACAACCGCATAGACAATCTTATTAGCTCAAATATGATTTATTTGGGTGAAAAATTATAGTCTAATTTGAATAAATGATGATTTATTCAAATAGTTTAGCCAAAAATCATCTAATTTATTCAAGTAAATGATGATTTATTCTAATATATCAGTCATCTTGAACCTCTAGACTCTGTGTTCTGGTAGGGTTCTCCAACAACCATTTGGGGATCTTTCCGGCCATCAAACATCGTAGAAACATCATCTAAACAATTCTTATCATTCATAGACCATTTTAAACAACTAAAATCATAGTTTTAACGTCAACTAGATCATATGTTTAATCCTTTTTTGAACAACCATGTTAGGTGTGTCCCAAAGTATACACTAAAGATTTACATTTACATTTTGATAACTGGTATTAACACCTAATAATGTCAGTGTAAATTTTTGGGATACATTTTGGGGTATAATTTTTGGGATAGATTGAGGGCCCGTTTGGTGAGTTTTGGAGATATAATAAGATATATGCATATCATGAAATCTAGGAGAAATGATATAAGTTTTTAAATTTGAAACGAATTTGTTTGAAGAGATTTAAAATCATAATTTAATTAGTTATAAGTGGGTAGTTGGCGGTGACAATGACAGCCGGTGGTGGAAATAATCAACGGTTAAGAGAGATATCAAACTCTCATATTAGTATCTCCCAAATCTAAAAGATATCAAAACCCTCTATTTGGAGATCAAAAATAAAAAAAAGATTTTAATATCTGGAGATATCAAAACGCATGTCTTATTTGATAACCAACATAGCTTTTTTATCCCTTTCTTTTTTTAATATCCTCATGTAGCTACATAAATACGTAGTATTCCGGAGTACTGAGTACATAAGGGAGGAAATGCACCACAGCCCCCTATGATTTCAAAAAAGAGCTCCAACACCCTCGTGGTTTTAAAATTAACTTATAATACACCTATGGTTTGTAAAGGGTGCACATGCATCCCCCATCCGGAAGTAACTTATATTATATTTTTTTAAAATCAATTTTTTTCTTAATTTCTCAACTTTGTTCCTCTATTATTTTTTTAAATCAATTTTTTTATTTCTCATAATTGAATAACAAAAAAATTTATAGAAACCAGCAAATTAATTACATATAATGAAACAAACAATCTAATAATGATAAAATTCATAACTAAAATAATTATTTTTTGACTTTAAATAATGCACCATACACCGAAATTAAAATAAGAAGTAAATCACAACAAATTTTATTGATAGATTACATATAATTTATTCATTCATAAAAATAAGGTTACAAAATACATGTCATAACTAATTTATTTTGTGAAATTCATAAAACATAAACTTAGACGTAATTGAAATCCATGATATAGCTATTGTTCATTACGACGTCGTCGTAGTCGGTAGTCCATGTTATTCGGATAGCGAGATGGACTACCGACTACGAAATCCGAATAACATGGACTACCGACCACGGTGACGTCGTAATGAACAATATCTATATCATGGATTTCAATTATGTTTAAGTTTATGTTTTATGAATTTCACAAAATAAATTAGTTATGACATGTGTTTTGTAACCTTATTTTTATGAATGAATAAATTATATGTACTCTATCAATAAATTTGTTGTGATTTACTTCTAATTTTAATTTCGGTGTGTGGTGCATTATTTAAAGTCAATAAATAATTATTTTATTTATGAATTTTATCATTATTAGATTGTTTGTTTCATTATATGTAATTAATTTGCTGGTTTCTATATTTTTTTTTGTTATTCAATTATGAGAAATAAAGAAAAAAATTGATTTAAAAAAAAATAGTAGAGGAACAAAGTTGAGAAATTAAGGGAAAAAAAATGATTTTAAAAAAATATAGTATAAATTATTTCCAGATGGGGTGTATGTGTACTCTTTACAAACCAGATGTATATTATAAGTTACTTTTAAAACCACGAAAGGTGTTGGAACTCCTGTTTGAAACCATATGAGGTTGTGGTTCATTTCCCCAGAGTACATGATAAAAACTAGGGATATGCTAGTTTATTCCTACCTCTCTACCATTTATTTTATTTTGTTTTTATTTTTACTTTTTTTTGAATTTTTCTTGCCTTTTTTGTGTGGTGATGGAGGGGTGAGGGATGTTTGGGGTACACTTGTGGTGTACCCCTAGCATTTTCCTAAAAACTACGAAGAAAAATGCTAGGGGTACACCAAGGTGTACCCCATTTGTCCCCCACCCCCTCCATTACCACAAAAATGGGCAAAAATTTAAAAAAAAAATTAAATAAATAAAAAGTAGATAAAAATGAATGGTGGAGAAGGGGGTGGGGGACAAATGGGGTACATATTTAGTGTACCCTAGCATGGCTCAACTACCAAGTACACACCAAGACAACCCTCACCATAAAGGCGGCGAGTTGTGGCGGGAGACGTGGGCAGAGTGACCAAAATGGGGTTAGGGTTTCTGCTTCTTAAAATGCAGGATTTAATTCAAAAACCAGTTGCAAAAGCTCCTCAAATATTGAAGAATGAAGAGTGAATTAACGAGCAAAGGAGAAAAAGATGAACTCAATTCGTCCTCACAATCCTCTTCGTAAGAAAATCAACTCTGTATGCTGCGTCTTGGCTGCAGTTCGACAATCTTCTTCTTCTTCTTCGCCAACTTCATCGGCAATCACTCAAAATGAGGAAACCCTGATTTCTCTCGTCAAATCGGCTACTCAAACTCGCCATTTGCTCCAACTCCATGCCCGCACCATACGCACTTCTCTGTGCCTTAACCCAGCAGTTTTCTCGGCTTTCTTGACCCGAATTTCCTTTCCTCCATTTCAGGATCTGGGTTATGCTCGGAGGATCTTCGATGAATTCCCTCGGCAGAATGTGTTGTCGTACAACATTATGATCAGGGCTTATGCAATGGGAAATTTTCCCAAGAAAGGCTTGGAGCTGTATGAAGAAATGCTTTCTTTGGGCATATCTCCAGACTCTTTGTCTTTGTCGTTTGTAATCAAATGTATTCTGAAGATTGGGTCTCTTATTGGAGGAACGCAGATTCACACCCTGGTTCTGAGAGATGGACATCAGTCTGACACTTTCTTGCTCACCGCTTTGATGGATTTTTACTCGTCTTGCAAGAAGTACAACGACGCTTACAAAGTGTTCAATGAAATGCCTGTGAAGGACACTGTTTCCTGGAACACTTTGATTGGTTGCTTCATGAAAAATCGTCGCCGGCACGATGCTTTGAAGGTGTTCGATACGATGCAGAGTTCAAATGTGTGCCAGCCAGATGAAGTCACTTGTCTGTTGGTTCTTCAGGTTTGTGCGCAGCTGAATGCATTGGAGTTTGGGGAAAAAGTTCATAAATACATCATAGAACATGCCCACGGGGATTCAATGTGTATATGTAACATGCTTATAACAATGTATTCACGTTGTGGGTGTGTTGATAAGGCTCACGAGGTGTTCAGAAACATGGCTAGGAAAAATGTTGTGTCTTGGAGTGCATTGATTTCGGGTTTGGCAAGCAATGGCTATGGTAGAGATGCCATTGAGGCTTTTGAAGAGATGCAGAGAGCCGGCATTCCACCAGATGGTCATACTTTCACTGGGATTCTCTCTGCTTGCAGTCACTCTGGTCTTGTACACGAGGGACGAATGATATTTGATAGAATGAGTAAGCAGTTTAGAATCTCACCCAACCTTCATCACTATGGGTGTATGGTTGATCTCATGGGCCGTGCAGGTCTTCTCAACGAGGCATATGAGTTTGTAAAATCAATGAGTATCAAACCAGATGCCACAATGTGGAGGACACTATTAGGAGCTTGTAGGGCTCATCACAATCCCATCCTTGGTGAAAGAGTCATTGAACATTTGATTGAACTCAAAGCAGAAGAGGCCGGAGATTATGTGCTGTTGTTGAACACATATTCTTCTTTAGGGGGTGATTGGACGAACAAGGCATCGAGCTTGAGGAAATTGTTGAATGAAAAGGGAATCTACACAACTCCCGCTTGCAGTACTATTGAGATAAAGGGGAAAATACACGAATTCGTTGCAGATGATATTTCGCACCCTATGAGAAGGGAAATTTATGAGAAGTTGGACGAGATCATGAACCAACTGACAATTGGTGGGTATGTGGCTGAAATAACAACACCAGAGGTGGAAGGAAAGAGGTTCGGATCATCTTATCACAGCGAGAAGTTGGCTATTGCTTTTGGGGTTCTGTCAATGCCACCCGGAACAACAATTAGGGTTGCTAAGGACCTGCGGATTTGCGTCGACTGCCACAATTTCGCCAGGATTCTGTCTAGTGTCTACAACAGGGCAGTAGTCATTAGAGATCGCAATCGGTTTCATCATTTCCGAGGAGGGTGCTGTTCGTGCAATGGCTACTGGTGAAGTGATAATCTGGTATATAGTTCAGCACACATTGAACACACTCAAATTTAGCAAGCCAATGGAGCTAAAAAAGGGTCCTTTTTTTGACAATGTTATTGAACTTCACTTGTGTGTCTTATATTATACGAAGCTTTGGGCAGATTTTGTTAATAGGGGTAAGATTGTGTGTATCTCTACTGCCATCAGTCTCTAACAAAGTTGAGACTACATTGGGTTTGTAAGAGAAGGGAAAAAAACAGTGGTTATGAAAATGGACATCCCTTGAATATTCAGCTTATTTGAGTTATTTGTATTTATAATTGCTTTACTCATAAACACTTGTGAGATTGTCTTGCACAATAATAGGAAGTACTCCGTAAGTTTTATAAGCTTAAAACTACTCTCTCCGTCTACATTTGATACTCTTGGTTTAGTTGGCAAAGATTACGAAAATATAATGTTATACTTGAGTTTTTTATTAAAATAAATAATGTGTTCTGAATGGCGAATAATTTAGAACTATTACACCGGCAACTGTAGGTTTTCCGGCACTAGGGGCATGTAAAAGAAAAAGAAAGAATGTGAACCACAAACCAATTGGATTACTGCCAATGAGGAGGAAAATAGGATAAAACGACGGACCAATTCTTAGTACTCTTAGTAGGAAAACTTGAACGGTTTTAGTTGATATTGGGCCCGTCCGGTGACCGCATTTTAGGAACCTAACGCGAAAGCTTATGTGTGGGGGTATATTTTTGCTTTTGTTTCCCGCAGGTGAAGAACGTCATCTCCTATTTTACCTCACCGCTAAACGCAAGAAGCTCTTCCTTCCCAGCATTCACCCAAGAAAATTGGCGTTTATGGAGAAATTTTCCATTTCTACCCATGAACTTCAAGTGGGAAGGTATTGCTGGTGCCTATTTGTATCTTCATCTAAGCCAAGATCAGCAAAACTAGGGTTTACTTGTGCAAATTGTTGCTCCATAGAGGAAATTGGCCCTTTGCAAGGGGATTTGCTTGGTGTTCTTTGATGGTTTTCTATATGGAGTAGATGGCTAGAAACTAGAACGTGGAGGGGCAGATCCTTGCGCTCTTACTGTTTTTTTAGATTTTGTCATCTTGGCCAATTTGTTTAGCTTGTTGGACTCCTCCTACGGTCTTAAATATAGGTCTATATTCGGAAATGAGGAACCGAAGCTTGACAAATTAGGTTTTTTAGCAGTAATTTGTAAATTATTAGCGTTTTAAAACATTCATTTCCCGAATACTAAAAATCAAATGCCAACCAGGGACTCTGATAGAAATAGCTAAACTTTGTCTCTAGACTCTAACACTATTCCCAAACAGGCTCATTATTGTTAAAAGCTTAAGATACAATGTTCTGTCACACGCATTTAATAGCCAGTTAAAAACAATGTCAAAAGTAATGCAATGCGAATAATGCATGCGTGGAGCAGAAGCCCATAGAGGGGCAGAGAAATTTGAAATTTCTCCATAATAATCAACACACACAGTTGCTGGAACAAAAAAAATTACTACTTGGATTCTTGTGATTCGGCAGTTGTGATTGCAGCAGTGTTACCCTTATCAGCAACCTCCTTGGCTGTGCTGCCTGTGCTAACCGCCTCCATTGTTTTATAGAACTCCTCAGGAAGAGGACCAGGGCGGTGCAGAGGTACATGTTTGGGTACTGGAGCATCGTTTTCAACCACTTCACATTCATGGTCGTCTGGAATGCCCCATGGTTTCCACTCTGCATAGAAAATAGAAGAAAAGAAGTTACATGCATTACACATATGATCTTTTATGCCAACAAGATCAAAGTCGTTCGAACACATGAAATCGAGAATTTCGTGAAACGTTTCTAGAACTTGATGCACACATAAAGGGCATCCTTATGTTAAGTGACATTTGAGGTGTTGGCACGCATACTAAAAAACATTAAATATTTCTAGAATCAAGGTAATAGTAGTTATATATGGCTAAAATAATACTATAAGTGGATTAAAGTATTGTGTAACATTTAATGATGGAGAACGGTAATGGTGGAAAATTATCAATACACTTTTTGGATATTGCAATGTGACAGTTATTTGAGAACAGATTTCTTTCCTGGAAGGTTGACATTAAAAAGGAGAGAGGAATGATTAAAATCTACGGAATAGTTTTGGCACGCACCCATCTTTAACCCCGTGTTAAATCGGAAACACATAAAAGTGTATTATATATATACCCTTGCATTTAAAGACCAATTTGTTGGAATGAATGTAAGGGCATAATGGACTGTTTATGCAATTGAGGTCAAATATGGGATTAAACGTCAGTGCATAGAAGAATTTTGTCTCCTCTATTTGCATGCACGCAATTACACAAAGACCAGTAAGACCTATAACCTATTTGAGTCGACGATATGTAATTATGTCGGAAAAAAGGCAACGATTTCTCATGCCAGGATATATGCATGCATCCCTAAGTCTCTTCTTTTATAATTTCAGGGTCACGACACCTTTTGTTTAAACATAAAGTGTGGTCATTTGTATGGTACTACGGTTGTCTGGCTTCTAAGCTGGATGATAGCAAATGTGTAATCATGGGTGCTACGCATGTAAAAAATTACATAATCTAGGGTTGGATTACAAAATCGGCACATCCAATAAAGTCATTAAACTTAAAGTCAACAATTAAAAGAGGTTCAACATAAGAGAACACAATTGAGATTCAATGTATGCTAATTTGACTCATTTTAAGCACACACAAATATGGCATATGCATGTGGATTTCAATTAGTATATGCTAGTATGCTACTTGGACTTTATTGGACACAGGCAATTCAAATACTTCAGATCTTCTAAATCCTTAAAAAGCTTTACATAATCTGATCATAACCATGCCAGATATAGAGATTACATTCATGCCAACACATGAGGTGGTAACAGTGAGACTGGTTCCATATGATAAGCAAATATTGTTTGTGCATTTATAATGTATAAGCCAGTTTACTCAGCCAGCCATTGGCTGGTATGAATGTGGGTTTGACATTTCTAAATGGTAGGCGTTCTTACTTTTGAAATCCAGGGGCACCCCATGTTTTTTATTTTCATTAGTAAGACCACTTCTGACAATTCACGATATGGGTAGTGAGAAAATGGGTAGAATAGACATTTCACAGTAAGGGTAGTGAGAAAATGTTAAAGTTAACAGTCACATCATCTATATAACATCTAAAATGGCCTTAAAGTGTCAAAAATAGTCATGGATGGGTAAAAAAGATTGCCTGCCATTTTGAAATGTCAAAACCACAGGCATGCCAATTGGGAAATCCCTTAAAATCATTTAGAATAGCTTATGATATAAGGAACCATTCACACAATGAGATGACAATAAAACAGCGTTCATATTTCATACTCTAAACATGTACATGGTTAACATTGAAGACTAGAAACACAAAGCTTTAGATGTTGGAATTAAAAGCTATACGCACTACACAAAAATCCATAACCATTGGATTTTATAGGAGTTATAACATTAGCATTGTAAATGCTCGCCTTGAGTTCTATGATACCAAAATTTCACACAGTTATCATCAAAGACTAAAACACTAATGCTCTGTACGTAATTTTCGAAGCACAAAAAAAAGCCCAAGATCAGTTTCAACTATTTTTGACTGTTTTAATCCCTAATTGAAGCTATGAACTGCAAATTAATCTTGAATTCGCAATAGTCTGATTGGATAGGTGCATTTCATTTGTAAAACTAGAAATTGGTGCGAAATCTAAAATTCTAACATTATGCTTAGTTCAAGGAATTAGGAAGGAAAAAATTGATTTTCTCTCATTTTCTCACCAAAATGGGAGGATTCCTTCTAGTACATTTTGTTTCTCATTTTCTTTTCCTTCAACTTTTCTTTTCTTTTCCTCTAACCAAACAAAAAATATCATTTTCCAACTCATTTTCTTTTCTTTTCCCTTACTTGAAGAAGACATAGGGTAAATGACTTCAAAACCTAAATTATTTGCAAATTTAAAACTCTAGAGGTTTGCCACGCAATAGGGATTTGCAATTCTAAAATTTTGAATTTTAAGTGATTGCCAGACCATGAATCGGAATTCTAATCGAGTGATTTTGAATTTTAATTATAGAATTAAAAGGTGAAATCTACCTATACAAACGTGACCTAAAAGCAAATACACAAATGAAAGAGCACAACAGTGGAGTGATTTTTTTTTAAATCTGGAATCACTCCGCACAAATAAGTCAATGGAAAGTGTCGGCATTTGAGGTACGGACCTTTCATGTAACCAATGAGCTTGAGCTCATCCCTTGCCTCTTCAACGAGCTCCTCAACCTGACCACAGGCGAGTCGCTTCTCGATCGATTCCCAGTCCTCTTCCTCAAGACAGACACTGAGACGGTGGCGCGTGAAGCTCTCGACGGCCTTCCGGTAGCCCTCATCCTCCGGAACAAACTTGATCTCATCCAGAGTTTTTCGGTATAGATTTATAAGCACCTCCTTAGCATTTGGCATCACTTCTAGCCCAACTATCCCCGTCGTCTCCTTCACCTTGGCCGCCATCATGAGCGGCCTCGCGATGCGCCGAAGGAACATCTTTTCACTCACTAACTGTCTCAGGAACGGTGGAGATGGAGGAAAAATTTAGGATATGTTTGGTTAAGGAATGCTATATTTGGTTCAAAAGAGAAATGTGAAGGTGAGGTTGATTAAAAGCATTGTTTTGATTATAATTATATTAACATTAAATTCCAACTTCATAAAAATTAAAAATTATAAGTTATAAGTCGTTTTACATATTTAGTCTCTACATATCAAATATTACTAACTTAGTCCCCAATTATTATATCATTTTTCATGAATGGTCCTTTGTTAACGTTTTTGTTAAGAATATGGATAAAATTATATATCCATACTTCTCTCTCTCATCAATTAAGCTTCCTCTCTCCTCTCGTACTTTTTCCCAAACTCGTCGCTGAGTTTGAAGTTCTAAACCCAAAACTGAAATGAGCATTCCTCTCTCAATTATTAGTCTTTATGGTGGAACCTAAAATCAAAACCAATAAGCTTTATTGATGAGTTTTATCGGTTAATCTCAAGAAATTGCAAATAAAAAAAACATTAAAACTCATCAATGAAGGTTAATAAGTTTCAAATTTGGGTTCCACCAGTTAGACAAACAATTAAAAGAAGAGTGATGATTTCAGTTTTGGGTTCAAAAC